ATCTGTCTACGTTACTAGTAAGCAATTTTAAATATATAACAAAGTAGACAAATCCAAATAACGCATCTTAATCACTCAACAAATAGTTGCGTTTTCATTGGTTTCATAGGGAAACATCTATTACAGAACAAGGCCGATAACTGAATCTATGCATAAAATATTGTTCAGTTGGAGGAACATTGGAAACCTGGCAGCACTGGATAGCTGTTTCGTCCTAGTACGGGACTTCTCAGCATTGAGCACCCACCACTCCAAACAGCCAAGGATAGGACCTAGAACCTTTAGATTCCACTGTCAGCACGTTACCGTTGAGCCACTGGGTCGCAATCCATTTGTCCATATTTCCAACTTCTGTCAGTTCACGACATAACGTCACCATTACCCAATGTCATCGCTGAGTATTTGTCCTCATGGCCATCAGGTCTACTTCACCGGTCACGACTTCTCATTAGAACTTCCGGAATCACCTCTAGAAGCTAGTTCCCGGCGGCGTCATGGGTGTCTACTGCTGAGAAGCCTTATACTAAGACGAAACAGCTTCCCAGTGCTGCCAGGTTTCGAATGTTTCTTCAAATGATGTCAGTCCATGGTGGATACCAACTTGAAAAATGAGTTTAATGACGCTGTACTGTTTGAAAACAATATCTAAGTCGTGATCATAGTTAAAAACTGTGCATATCGTCGCATTACAACAGGAAATAGTTATTTTAAACGTTTAGAAAACGTGTGGTTGTTTGTGTGTACTGAAAGCTCAGGATAAACAACTCACTATGATATACTTTTCAAATACGTTAGCATAAACACATATCTGAAGTCAGATTGAAACAAATTCAATTGTACACAAATAGCTTAACGAAATATCATTCATCCTCTAAGGTGTTTAAGTAACAAACACTGTCCAGCAGGAGAAAAAACAACAACATAATGAGATGAAAAGTAACACACAAAACTATATAGTGACTTACAGGATAATTTACACAACCTACCACAGTAACCAAAACAAAAATAGGCAAAAGGTAATCAAAATATAGAATCTGTCTTGTCGACAATTATCTATTTCCTTTCAATACAAACAACAAATATCTGACTTTATACCACTTACCTTTCGGTTTTCAAACTGACAGAGTAAACATGCAACTAGCTTAACAACAAGAACATCGATTATGTTGACAAAAAAAACAACAAGATGAAGAGATATATTTCCTTACATTTCTTAGGGATTTATACTGCCCTCTCTCTTTCAGTCCCACAGAAGATTGATTTCATGGCTTGTTGATACTGGGAGATGATTGAAGATGAAATGAAAATTTGGACCACGACCGGACTCGAACCAGTGACCACCAGGTTTCTGGCTGGGTCAGGCTGAAGTTCAAATTTTCATTTCACCTTCAATCATTACCCATTATCAATACTAGTCTGTCAAACTACGGCTATCTCAAATTCATGGTAAATAATAGGGCAGAAATGTAAGACTCAATGTAAATATACATAACAATATGAACTCATTCAACACAAGTCATCAAAGTCTCTCATCTTCAACTTCCTTCAGAACTGAAACAAAATTACACGAGCTGAACTGGTAAGTCTAACCATTAGCACTGAACTTGTTGGTCGTTACTAATCTATTCCGAATAATCTCAGTATTTGATTGTATAAGTATTATTCACTTTTAAGCATATACATACAAAATACATGTGACATATGTATGTTCTAAGTTCTTCTAGGACTAATCAATTTTGAGTGACTCGCTAATCTCTCTTCGAAATTGTAAAATTTCGATTCTTGATAAAGTTAATCAAAGATTATTGGCATAAATATTTCTTCCAGAATGATAGTATAACCAACAGCATAGAACAGCGCACACTGTATACTATTTGTTCAATAATTCTTAACAAAATCATAACTCCTATTGTTCTGATATTCTACATGAAACAAAAGGAGTGAGAATTTTATTATCTGTACTCGGTGATGATTGAAGGTGAAATGAAGGTTTGGATCGCGGCCGGATTCGAACTAGCGACCACCACGTCCCCCGCTCAATACTCTACCAACTGAGCTACGAGGCTCGACTGCTGAGCAGATTTTATTTCACTCCAATCATCAAGAGTTTTGCCCGACTACCAAGTGAATTCGCGACGGATTACTATTGCTTGATCGTACTCACACTGGCTACCTGATAAGGACTTCTCATCCAAATCTAAGTAAATTAGCGAGGAGGTGGAGCATCACATTGATTACCATTGTGACTATCTGAGTAAGATAGCTGTAGTTTGGCAGACTAGTATTATTGATATTGGGTGATGATTGAAGGTGAAGTGAAAATTTGAACCGTGGCCGGACTCAAACCAGTGACCACCAGGTTTCTGGCTCAGTGTGAGTACGACCAAGCGATAGTAAGGTGCCACGAATTCACATACCCTATGGGGCAAGACCAATGATGATTGAAGTGAAAAAAAAATCTGGTCATCAGTCAGTAGAGCATCGAATCGGAAACCTAGTGATCGTTGGTTCGAATCCGGCCGCAGTCAAAATCTTCATTTCACCTTCAATCATAACCAGGTATCAATACTAGCCTGGCAAACTACGGCTATCTCAAATAGTCAAGATGATATTCATGGTATATAATAAGGTAGAAATGGGAAAAATAGTAGCTAGCTAGCTAGCCAATTCGATTCCCTTCTATAGAAAGTCAAGTGGAAGCAAGTTATACAATGTGGATTATCTGGAGATGGAACAACTGAAGAAACCGTGAGAATTGCATTTAATCTTTCTTTTTTTTCGAAACCAACGCTGAAATTGTAAGTCGTGGCCAGTGGGGCGAACCTGGTGGCCGTGAAGACAAATACTCAGCGATGACATTGGGTAATGGTGACGCTATGTCGTGAACTGACAGAAGTTGGAAATATGGACAATTGGATTCCGACCCAGTGGCTCAATGGTAACATGCTGGCCACGGGAACCTGAAGGTCACGAGTTCGAGCGGCACTGCTGGGGAGTCCCATACCGGGACGAAAAAACTGTCCAGTGCTCCCAGGTTTCCATTCATCCAACTGATATCAGTCTACGATGAATACCAACTTGAAATATCTCTAAATTTCCACAAATCTCCCAAATTTAACTGAAACTATGTTTGAGTATATTTAAATGAATGCGAGTAGATGTTAAATGAGCCTAGAAGATTTGGATTCTGTCGATCATGATTTATGTCTAATGTCGCACAAACTCGAAGATCTACAGGCGAAAACTAACAAGTTGACAGAAGAGGCAGCGTAAACGGGACTTCAAGTGAATGTAGAAAAGACAGAGGTGGTGAAGATACCCAATCAACAACAAGTACCAATCAACCATTAGTGGGAGAAACCTAAAGGAAGTTGTCTCTTTCATCTAAGTGGGCAGCATCGTTTCAACTACAGGCGGCACAAGCACAAATGAGAGTGTCAAAACCAGGATCGGAAAAGCAAGGCAGGCCTACCTACACTAATCTGAAATCATTGTGGAGATCTACTACACTCAGCATAAAGCGTGAACAACATCCGGATTTTCAACACCAACGTCAAGTTAGTGCTGGTATTCGGTTCAGAAACTTGGCGCGCAGACATTCATCAACAACTGTCTACGCTCGACGCTGAACATCAGATGGCCAGAATAATAAGAATAAGCAACAAGGAACTCTGGCAACGAACTAACCAAGAACCTATCACCCAACAAATATGCAGAAGAAAGTGGAGATGGATTGGATTTAGTATACACTGAAAAGGCTGATTGGGGACATCACGCACCAGGTCAGGCCCTTGAGTGGAATCCAAATGGGGAAACGATGAGTTGGGTGTCCGAGGCTAGTGTGACATGGAGGAGATCATATGACGAAGAAATATAATCTTGTAGGCAGTGGTGGTGACAGGTTGAAAAGATTGCAGAGAACAGAGCGAAATGGAGGCGTGTTACTGAAGCTCTATGTTCCACTAGGAACCCAAGGGAAAAATAAAACGATGTTAAATGTCTTGAAAGATGACATAATAGAAGCAACAGTTGATATTTATAATAATAAATGTAAAATAGATGTTTGTGTTTCTTTACGACCAACACACGCACACACACACATACATACATACATACACATGCATGCAAGCACGTACGCACAGTGTGTGTGTATGTGCTAACATTGAATACATTTATTGTTCTGTTTTACAATTGGATTAGTGTATTTACATACAAATTCATTGAAACATACACAATGCATATTATTGTGTACAATAATACTGTATATTTTATTCGATTAAGAATATTTTCAGGGTGAATTATGACAACGGAAGACTGTGCACAATATGTATGTATGTATGTGTGCGTGTGTGTATATGTATACTCCAATTGATAGGCCTTTTAAAATGATTCAATTGTCTGATCAGTACATTATTCATCATTCAGATAATGAATTCATACACTCATATTCATCAACTAATCATCATATGAAAACATGAAAGAAATCAATTTTATTTGATGGAAGACATAATCAATGAGCGGGAAAAAGACAAACAATGTTTAATGGAAATAATTTTAGAAAAAAAGAGAAAAAATTAAAGGAAGAATTTTGAGAAGGGAAATTATAAATATTATGTTTTTATTATATGATAAAACAATTCATAAAGAAAAATACCTTAGTAACAAGGTATATACATACATACATACATACACACACACGTGTAAGACATGCTGTAATAAATAATAATGAAGAAACTGGTGAGAAACAAATCCACTTAACTGAAAAATATGATTTTTCAGGTTTCTATGTTATTGAAGACTATTACGAATAGAAATGCGTTTCCATAGAAAAAACAAAGAGTAGAATAAAATATTATACAGTAAGGCGATATATAAAAAGACATGAATTCATCCTACAATAATAAACATAAGAAGTAAATCAGCTGTCTGTTAACAAACTATAATATAAAATAATCATCAATTAAAGGGGTTAGTGTATACACAAAGCTTATTGTCTAATTCTAATCATCACCAGAATCTACATAACCACTTGATGTAGTCGACTTCTGAGAGTCATTACGACCGATATTTGTAGCTCCAGATATTATAATAGACTCAGGTAATGATAATTCAACTGTCTGATGTACTGTATCCATTGTATTATTAGTCATCAAAAGATCATCTTGTAAAGATGGTAGATTATCTGATACATTGGTTCCATTCAATACTTCATCATCATCCAAAACATTGGAAATATGTAGAGATTTAGGAGTAATGATTTCAGAACTAGAGAAATGCTCAGGTGTTGACATATCATTATCATTGGTATGATTTTCAGATTTGTCTTCAACAGTTTCATTGTCATCATCATCATCATCGTCGTCGTCATCTGTAGCCGATGGTGCACATCCACTGTCACGAATAACACTCAGTGTCTTTTGATCTTCATTATCTGTCTTTATATGATTTGATATAAAATTCTTAGCATTCTCCAATACATCGGATACAATCTGTCTAGCAGCTTCTTGTATATCTTGAAAACATATATGATAAAAGGTTAATAATTTTATTATCATTATTATATCACAGTAAATGAAAGTGATAAAAGTCGCTCTGTTATACAAAGTTCATTGTCGTGGTTACAGTGGCTTAAAATAACCATTAGGTGTAGTATTTCTACCCCACCCAAAATGGGTGATATTGTCTCCACTAGGACTCGAACCTTCTTACCCATGACTTGCAGATGACGAGTCCTAAATGGGACGAAACGAACGTATAGATTCCAGTGTTATAACAATAAATATTCAGTTAATATCTAGGCATGCGTACAGCAGCTGATATATATCCCAAGAGAGATCGGTCAGTTCGACCCAGTATAACAACAAGGAATTATAGGTATCAACTAATAATAATATTTTATCTTTCTTCTGGTTTTTATTGCCTATTAGTGACAGTAATGCTAGATCTTACCAAGATGATTACAGCCTGTTCCCCGAGACGAAATCCTAATGACTTTGATCTTTGTCGTATCCAGAAATAGACCCGATGAAAAAAAATATTGAAAAGTAGGAAACAATAGACCATTTACATTCCAACCCAGTGGCTAAATGGGAATAAAGCCTTCGCTGTGAGATCATGAAGGTCCTGTGATTGAACCCCTAGCGGAGTCGTGCGTATAGAATGCTGAGAAGTTCCAGTCTAGAGTGAAACAGATGTCTAATGTGTTATATACCCCTAAGTTTGCATAAATTTTGCCTGATATTTGCCTATAACCTTAAAATAATTTTTGTTTTCCTACTCTTTTCAAGGCTGAACTCTCATTGGTTGTTAACTCTTTTAACTTAAATGTGGATTTAGTGTCCTCAAGGTCATTTAGAAATGTATATATTCAACATTGCTCTCAACCATTTTGATTACTGTTGAGACAATAAAAGCTGTCTGTCAATAGATTCGTCTTCTTTTCTTTTCTTCGCGTGTCGATGGTATTGTTGTAGTGATGATTGATGTTCTGATTAGCGTTTAGAGTCAACTCATTTGCGCGTTAGATTCGTATTGCTCGTAGAGTGTTAGGTCATACTACCGATCAATCTAGGTTATCAATGGTTCTTCGAATGATACTGATCCGTGATCAAAAATAACCTTGAGTTAATCTAAATAAATTGTTTCATTTTTTTTTCGTCTTTTCTCCCTACTCCTTTTACTTGTATAATAATTATAATGCTCAAGTACAAAGAATCTAAAAATCATGTTGGTACACTATTCCTACAGTGCGAAAATACCGATAAAAGTAAATCTTCTCAGAGTCATGATAAAAACTTTCTAGAAAATAAACATGCACTTTGAAGCTAATATGCAGAAACTTATGGTAACGGATCCATTTTTGCATTCTACATTTAAGGGGTGTATTTATAACTTATTCTATAACAAATGAATTCACAAGAATCTATCACCTTTTTCGATTAGAATCATGAAGAAAAAATCAAATCAAAATTGTAAGGAAACATTTGATCAATCAGTAAATTCTTATTGCTACTCGAAGATGTATGATAGTGAATACAATGCCTGGAAATGATAATGAAACATAATACTTCGACAAAAGTGAGATCTATACTGTGACAGCTGAGAGAAAACACTGAATCACAATATACGAAACATTATTTTTAAACAAAAGAAGCACAGAAAGTAAATTTTTCATAGATAAATACATTAAATAAAAGCACTGAATAACTGATTGTTGATATGGTGATCAGAAATCCAGTGTATATAACTTATTGATGAAGTTTGCTCAATAATCTGGTGATTTTCATTACAATCCTCGATTACCAATTTGTTACTATCACATAACACACTATTCCATGCGGTTGTATACTGAACAATGAGTTAGTAGACACTTCTACAGACGTCTGTTATGCAATCAACAATGGAGTTCATTATTCCAAGCAGCAGACTTTCAACCATCGGGTTACAGCTTCCAACCCCATCCACCTATCGAGATTTTCGCAGCCAGGTAGTACCATGAACCCATTATATACCAGGCGTGGTTCACTGACTACTGTACGAACGTGAAGAAGATTTCTGAGAGCATTTAGCATTCAGTACAGATTTTTGAATGACGATCACAGTGAGTAGTCCTCATGTAACACATGAATAGGTATATAATTATCGCACAGGAACTTCGTTTTCGATACGGCACGTTGCTAAGTGCTAGCTGCCCATCTATTCCGTTCTAATAAGATAATGAGATAAATCTTTGAAACCATAAGCAATTATAAGCATCTATATGACTGATAAGTACCAAGATTCTACAACATGAAATGTCAAAAGCAAAGACGGATATGTTGGAAAGTGGATACTCAGAAAAAGCTAATAACAAGTAGACTTAACACACTATGGAACAATCTGTATGAAAACAATTGTGAAAAACCTTGACCACATTTATGTGGCACCTATGGCAACCACAGACAAAATATCTGACTATTTATCATAAGACAAGTATACAGCCCTGTAGTCCATTAGATCATGTTCTACGGATGTGAGATACGACCATTAAAAGTAGAAGACATGAAGCGATTACAGAGTTTCAGTCACAGATGTCTTCGTACATTGCTCGGACATGGTAGAATCACCATGTGAGCAATGTTGAGGTCAGATGAAGGGTACCACGAAAGACAAGAAAGTTGATTGGTGAAACTGTGAACATTCATCGATACAGATACCTTGAACATTTACTCAACATACCAAGAAACCGCCTATTCCCATCTCATATACTACCGCAACTCAAATTAGGTTGGAAAAGGATTCAGGGTGACCAGATCAACAACTAGCACCAGTCGATGTACACTGCCCACTTGGAGTCCCAGAGACAAAAGAAGTCAGTGATTGACGACACATAGCTGAAAATCGACCACAATTAGGCAGACATAATCACTCCTTCACAACTCCCATTGCTTCAATATATTCACACTAACCTTCATCACCAAATTGTTGATTCTCTAACACTACTTTATCTACTTCAATATCAATCTCTTTCTATACAGTTGTTCTTTGTATAGTACTGTGAAGTGTGATAACTTGAAGTGATCGACTTGTGTGTGAGGTTCTGTTTGTTGAATTTGTCTAGTCGGTCACATTTTCTGATTAGGAAAAACAGTCATTCAGGTAATCAATCAATCTAAAATGCATCCACTTACACCGTAAAGGATGACACAATCGCAGCCTTAAATACACATTCCTTGAATTATTCATTATATCTCAGACAAATGTTGATAAAATTATTCCAGTGGGATTTACTAATGATAAATTACCTTCTAATATATATATATCTGAACACCAGACGACAGTGTCATTTGACAACATCACAATACTGATTGATATACCTTCACTTATCATTTTGAATGTGAAAGCTACTTTGATTACCATTGGTTAATCAATCTTATATTCAATATACTTCTAAAGAAAAAAGTAGCTTAGTAACAAAGACTTTAACTTCAGCACTGAATGGGACAGTTACTGATGATATAGGGAAAATAAGTCTCCTAAAGATTGCAAATATATTATGTAATGATGAGTGCAGGGAAAAACCTAGTACCCATCGACTCAAATATAAAGAGAAAACAGAACTTTAAAGATAATCGAAAATTATGGTTGATCAGATGTGAAACTACTGAAGCCTAAAACTAACGCTGAAGAATATCTAGGATTATCATCATCATCATCATCAAGATCAACATAGGACCAGGTATTACTGCGAAAAGGTATAAGTTGCCACACCTAATCTCACCACATCAAGTAAGAAGAAAATAAAACGGAAGATGGAGGAAAGAAAAATCGGCTAAAAAAAGTAGAAGCAGAAAGTAGTAAAAGAAAGCAAGGAACAATGAGAAGGTGATGAGATTATGCATAACGGTTGAGATGAAGATGTGTGTATGCAGCTGCGCCACTGACATCCGTTGTGAACCTCCAACTACTGGTTCCTCTTATCCCCCGTACCCGAACCGACTAGTCTGCATCAATCTACATCACTCAAACCAACAGTCAACAACTTCATATATTGATGCCATCTTTTAGTCTGGCCGCTCTGAGTTTTTTCCAACCTCAACCTACTTCAGCCAACATTGTGTGACGAGGCAGACTGTGGTTAGGCATATGTAACACATGTCCCAGTCAGCCATCTCAGTCGATGAAGGTTCACAACCCCATCAACTATCTTAACTCCTCTGCCTAAATCTCTACCGCTGACTTCTGCGTTACTCACATGGTAACACCACAAAACACGGCGTATGCTACGAAGGTATTGGTAGCATTCTCATGTCTTCTATTTTTAATGCCCATGTTTAACAGCGATACAACAGGACAGAGTAGAATGAAGCACAGCAAACTCGACCCTTAATAGACAGTCGGACATCGCAGCGGCACCACAGATGGCGTAATTCGGCAAAAGCCAACCGAACCATCTTTGTATACGTGTAGCATCAAAAAACTGATAGTGCCATGCAATATTCATTTCAACTATTCCTATCCAACTTGCAGTATAAACGTAAGTAACTCAAATCGGCATATATAACTGTTTAAAAAATTATGACCCACAAATAGTGTGTGAGAGTTTATGATAATATCTGACCGCCTATGACGAAGTCAGTGAGATTGAGTATGAAACCAGAACCAGTTGACTAAAAGCCGATTGCCTTATTTAATGAGCCACAAATCCAACTTCTGCTATCTCTCCTCTCACTGCCAATTCCATTTCTTCTGAAGTTGTTAATTTTATTTATTTCTGCCTTTGAATAGTGAAGTATACACTTTTATGTACAGACGAATATCACTATAATGTATTTTGAAGTGGATGAGGATTTTAATTTTGAGGTAGTATTCATCATGGGAGAATCATTGAAAACCTTGGAGCACTGGATAGCTGTTTCTTCCTATTATGGAACTCTCTGACAGTACGCACTCATTAACCGGCTAGGGATCGAACTCAGGACCTTCAGATTTCACAGAGAATACGTTAACTAATCAGCCACTGGGATAGAATTAAATGATTCACAGTTTCCAGACAATTTACTGACTCAGTTGAACAAAACACAACAAGATGAACCAATAAAGGGTGTTAAAGTTAATACGCAACCCTTTACATTTCTGTACCAGGCTATAAACCATAAAACTTAATATGTGAACACTTATGATACCACGTAGTTGCCTAATACAATGTCGTTGAAATGAGATTTGATACCAGGACCCATTTGGTTAACAGGCTTGTACTTCACACAGTGAGCCATAATTCCCTTCTCGAAAGAGAAGAATCATATACTGGTCTTTATCATTCTCAACGATTTATAAAGAACTGTAATGAAAAACACCTGAGAAAAACTGGACACTTCTTACCATACTCTGAGCTATCCAGTATTGGGTCCATTGTGAGATTGAATTCAGTATTTATTCCATTGGATAGTTCAGTTGAGGTCAATTCATAATTTAGTGTATTACAAGTTGGTGCTGAGGATAAATCAATAATAGAATTAGCCAATGTTTTAACTTCTTCATCTTCATCTTTTTCATTACTATCATTTTGACTAGGATCATTTTTAGTCCAATGCATTTGTGAGTCAATTTGAACAGATGATCTTGATAAAGTTCTTTTCTGATTTGTAGAGTTATTTAGAAAACTTTTTTGAGATAACTCTTGATGAGTTAACTAGGATGAATTACAAAGACAAAAGTTATTGACAACAGAAATTAACAAAATTAAACTGTCATATTGAGTAAACATTTTCTATGAAAAAATAGTTACAAAAATTTAATAGACAGAATTAACGTAGAACCTTACACGGTAAGTGTATCATTTCATGTTGTCACACCATACAATGAGCAACTGGATAGAAATAGAGTGACAGTATGATTAAAATTGATCTTCTTTAGAAGTATATTGAATATAAGATTGATTAACCAATGGTAATCAAAGTAGCTTTCACATTCAAAATGATAAGTGAAGTATATCAATCAGTATTGTGATGTTGTCAAATGACACTGTCGTCTGGTGATCAGATATATATATTAGAAGGTAATTTATCATTAGTAAATCCCACTGGAATAATTTTATCAACATTTGTCTGAGATATAATGAATAATTCAAGGAATGTGTATTTAAGGCTGCGATTGTGTCATCCTTTACGGTGTAAGTGGATGCATTTTAGATTGATTGATTACCTGAATGACTGTTTTTCCTAATCAGAAAATGTGACCGACTAGACAAATTCAACAAACAGAACCTCACACACAAGTCGATCACTTCAAGTTATCACACTTCACAGTACTATACACAGAACAACTGTATAGAAAGAGATTGATATTGAAGTAGATAAAGTAGTGTTAGAGAATCAACAATTTGGTGATGAAGGTTAGTGTGAATATATTGAAGCAATGGGAGTTGTGAAGGAGTGATTATGTCTGCCTAATTGTGGTCGATTTTCAGCCATGTGTCGTCAATCACTGACTTCTTTTGTCTCTGGGACTCCAAGTGGGCAGTGTACATCGACTGGTGCTAGTTGTTGATCTGGCCACCGTGAATCCTTTTCCAACCTAATTTGAGTTGTGGTATTATATGACATGCGAATAGGCGGTTTCTTGGTATGTTGAGTAAATGTTCAAGGTATCTGTATCGATGAATGTTCACAGTTTCACCAATCAACTTTCTTGTCTTTCGTGGTACCCTTCGTCTGACCTCAAATTTGGAAACTTAGGTAATTCTGTGAAGCCCTACAGATAGTACTGATTAGAATGTCGATCCAATCATATTCACTGGGATTTATGAGCTATGATTATTTTGACAGCATTATGCATTTGTACTACCAGTAGAAACACCACTTAAGCATCCTATTCACTGCTACTACTACTACAAGTAGTCATAATCATTACTAACATTCCTTCATATATCTCTGAATAACACAATTTCATATTACATTATTTGATTGTCTTGAGATATAGTGTAACTACTCTGTATTTCATGCTGTGTGCTGATTCCATATGCACATGAATACTTATAAACAAAATGAATCTCACGGTTTTTGTAATCATCAATAAAGTGATACATTATACTTTGGTGAAGAGTAAGCATCATTAATATTTGTCTTATTTACGTGTTAGTAAACTATTTAGTGAATGAAATTAGAAAATAAAATGTAGTAAAACCAGTGGATAAACACCTAAACAATACTTATATATGCTTTAGATAAACTTAGATTGTACTCAGTGTTACGAGTCGAACTAGCAAACCTAACATATTACTTTGAATGAGCAAAGATAGCTCATTTAAAGATGTATAGAAGAAAAGAGAAACAGAATATACAGAATGAAATCAAACAGTTCACCAAATACACCATATTGATTATCAGTTCGACTATCTTACGTGGATGTGGTTCGGTAGAATAGTAATATTGATACTGAGTGATGACTGAAGGTGAAAATGAAAATCTGGGCCGGTGGCGCAGTGATCTCTAGGTTACCAGTCCACTGTTCTGTCAAATGAGCTACGAGACCAGCCAACTGACCAGATCTTAGTTTCACTTCAATAACCAAGAGGTAGCTGGTCCGAATCCCGACGCGGCCCAAATTTTCTTTTCACTTCCAATCATCATCTAGTATCAACACAAATCTGCCAGATCACAACTACCTCATATAGAATAATAATCAATATGATGCTCCACCACTGCATTTCAGTTCCATTTGGATTCGGATGAGGATGCCTTACTGGGAAGCCAATGTGAGTACGACCAAACGATAGCAATGCATTGCGGATTTACATGGAGGCTTGGCAAAACCTTTGATGATTGAAGAGAAATTAAGATGCAGTCAGCAGATGGGTCTCGTAGCTCAGTTGGTAAAACACTGCGGCCGGTTAACCAGAGAAGTCGCTGGTTTGGATCTTATTATGGTCCAGATTTTAATTTAACCTCCAATCATCATCTAGTACAAATACACTACACATGTACCCTGCTACCCCAGGTCATCTCTTCATACAGGAAGGCGCATATGGCATTTGCCAACTACGGTCACCTGTTGCGCCAACAGGCGAGATATCCTACTATCCATCAAAGGACGAGTGTAATGAGCTGCAGTCCGTTCTTTCATGATGTACAGATGTGAAACACAGTCTTTTAAAGAAGATCTGCAAAGATTGCTGGGTTTCGAGCATAGATGTCTTCGTACAATTGCTCGGACATGGTAGAATCACCATGTGAGCAATGTTGAGGTCAGATGAAGGGTACCACGAAAGACAAGAAAGTTGATTGGTGAAACTGTGAACATTCATCGATACACATACCTTCAACATGTACTCAACATACCAAGAAACCGCCTATTCGCATGTCATATAATACCACAACTCAAATTAGGTTGGAAAAGGATTCAGGGTGACCAGATCAACAACTAGCACCAGTCGATGTACACTGCCCACTTGGAGTCCCAGAGACAAAAGAAGTCAGTGATTGACAACACATAGCTGAAAATCGATCACAATTAGGCAGACATAATCACTCCTTCACAACTCCATTGCTTCAATATATTCACACTAACCTTCATCACCAAATTGTTGATTCTCTAACACTACTTTATCTACTTCAATATCACTCTCTTTCTATACAGTTGTTCTGTGTATAGTACTGTGAAGTGTGATAACTTGAGGTGGTCGACTTGTGTACCAGGTTCTATGTTGATTTCGTCAACCAGTCAGTCAGTCAGTCAGTCATGACAGCATTAAATTAAGAGATGAATCAGTAAAACGTTTTAAGCAGGAAGCAAGCGGTCATTGGGAATATTCTTAGACAATAGTGAATGAAGAGATTCAAAGACAATATCTTTTTTTTAGAAGGACATGCATTTATGAGGGTTTTTTGTAATGTTACTAGTGGACAACTTTATTATGTAGAAATAGGAATTCACGGCATTTTACTTTCCAATTCCAAAAAACATTAAGATTTGTTAGAAAGAAGAGTTTTATGATTCTATGATGCTAAAAATGCTGTACACATTTCTGCGGCTTGATTGCTGTTGAACGTTTTTCAGAACTTAGTTGAAGCTGAAACCTTTGTTGTGATAAATCATACAAAATGGTGTATTGGGCATCATCCGTCACTTGAAAGCAACTTTCCATCAGACTGATTGCCTTTTAGTAAAGTTTACTACTCATAAGTAGTTTGACATTCTGAGTAAAATAATTTCTCTAGACTATTATACCTTTTAATTGACGTTCTTCTAGTGATCGGTCACGTGAGAATATCAGTCTCAAACAATCAGCGACATACCCACCGAACTCAGAGTTATCTTAGTTACATGAAATGTCAAATGATTCATTGAATTCTTCAACATATATTCCTGTTTATGAAGATAAATAGAGAAAAAACGATTGGAACAGAATAACATCGTACGACTTAATTTTGTCGGTATTCAGTCTGCTACTTACAGCCTGAAATATTTAACTATTATGTAACAAAAGAATGTGGATAAAAATGTTGCAAATAAATGAAGTTTGTTATCAGGAATTGAAGTGTTATGGATTATTATTATGATTATTATTATTTGTCCCTTGGGTTCCTAGTGAAACATAGGGCTTCAGTAGCACGTCGTCATTCCACTCTCTTCTTTGCAAACTTTTGAACCTGGTTCTACGACAGCCCAGAAGCTCTCATTTCTTCCTCATATGATCTCCTCCATGTCACCCTCACCTCGGATGCCCAACTTATCGTTTCTCATCTGGGTTCCACTCGACGACCTGGCCTGGTGCGTGATGTCCTCGAATGGTTTTCTCAGTGTATGTCCAAACCATCTCCACTTCTTTCTACATATTTGTTGAGCGATAGGTTCTTGGTTGGATAAAGAATACAAACATCCGAATCGCGCTAACAAGACATGGTGAGAAATTTCACTTATTTATCTTATTCAACAGAGAGTTTCCTTTATTGTTTATCTTGAAATACTTGTTGAATAAGATATATGAGTGAAATTACTTGGTATATCCTGTTAACTAACTTCCTTTAGTGACAGAAAAGTATATCCAAATTCATAAGTTGTTATTGTACTATACAAAAGCTTTCAGTTATAGTTGTAAGCACCTGATGAGCAACTAGCGAAATTAAAAGGTTCCATGTTATTCTGTTCCATTTCCTATTCCTTTCTCTATTTTAACTTTCGCTATGTATGACTTTAACCATAAGAAATAAACAATTTAAGAATTATGATTTGACTATCTTAGATAGCCGTAGTTTAGCAGACTAGTATTTGTACTAGGTGATAGTTAGAATCAGGCGCTGTTCAGATTTTCATCTCACCTTCAATCATCACCCAGTATAAATTCAAGAGTTGTTAAAGTTTTAGTTCAATGAAACCTGCTTATCAAGTGAATGTCTTGTTAGCTAAACACAAATAAGTTTAAATGACACTGTCAATATTCAGTTACTGAGTGGTCAGCTATCTCACAATTAAGTCCCTAGTTTTGATAGAAGTGTATCATCAAAATGAGATTAGTTCACTTGAGTATATATATACCCGATGTTTGGTAGTAAGCATAAGTGCCAGGCCCAGGTTTCATGCTTTCATTTATAAAGAGTGTCTATAACGTCATGAAAATACTTGATCTTAGAACTTTTCATTCCGATATGAATAGTGGAGCTAACGGGTGTCAATTATTCCAGAAGCACCATGTGGTAAAAAGTTTGGGTTCTCAATAAAATACAATGATATCACCTAGTATGATTGTTTTTATATGATTGGACCCAATTGATCGATCTCCATTGGCATATGGGCTCCTGTACGGATGTCTCGATATTGCCTGCGTTCTAACTATATTAATGATGGATCGTGGCTAGCTGTGGAATCCAAGATGTGCATATCGTCCTATTTGGGACTCACTGGTCAGCTGGATGTACCTGCTTCCCAGTGAGTGTTGTTCCCACTGGGATTCGAACTCGGGAGCGATCGCTTCAAACGCCAGCACGTAATCCACCACACCACCGAGCCACGATAGCCACTTCTTGTGTGACGGGTATACTTTTTAGTATAATTGTTTTTATATGATACCGTCATTGATTGGACCGAATGAATCGGTCTCTATTAGCTATTGGTTCCTGTGCGGATGCCTCGATATTGCCAGTAATCGCACAAGAAGTGGCTACCATGGCTCGGTGGTGTAGTGGATAACGTGCTGGCGTTTGAAGCGATCACTCCCGAGTCCGAATCCTGGTGGGAACAACACTCACTGGGAAGCAGGTACATCCAGCTGACCAGTGAGTCCCAAATAGGATGAAACGCGCATTCTGGATTCCACTGCTAGCCACGATCTATCCTTAAAATGATATCACCTTCCAAAACCGTGTCACTAAACTCAACATACTAGAATTAAGAGTTTCATTGGTCAACTGACTGACTTTATTATCCATCTACTTAAGAAAACGTAACACTTTTGAGCATGAAAACCATATGTTATATAACAAGGTAGTTAGATGAGGATTCAACCGAAAGAATCACAAACTGCAACTAACTAAATACTTAAAAGTTGTGATTCAATATTCACCAATTCCAAGTTGTTATTCATCGTAGACTAACATCAGTTGGAGGAACAAAAGAAACCTGAGAGTCCTAGACAGCTTTTTCGTCCGACTGGTATGGGACTCCTCACCAGTGCGCACTCATCACCTCGCCACGTCAGGGATCCAACTCACGACCTTCAGGTTCCGTGGTCAGCACGTTACCATTGAGCTAGCCACTGAGTCAGAATCCAATGCTCCATATTTCCAACTTCGTACACCATGTACACCACGATATAGCTCAACTGGTGCTCATTGGTGACTAGCTTCGAGAGGTATTCCCGAAGTTCCAATGAGAAGTCGTGACCGTGACCAGTGGGGGCAAAGCTTGATGTTCGTGAGGACAGTTACTCAACGGTGACATTGGGTGGCGGTTGCGCTATATCCCCACAACTCCCTCAAAATTGAATTCACCAATCTATCAGTTTAGTAGGAAACCATAATAATTGTCAACGGTGAAAACTGAGTATCACATTGTAAGCACTCAAAGAAAAAATTAGCTTACTGCATATTAAGGTTTGTGGAGGTTTTTATTAATTGATCATAGGTTGAATTCATCATGGACTGACATCAGTTGGAGGAACACTGAAAATCTAGGAGCACTCAAAACCTGTTTCTTCCTAGTATGGGACTGTGCAGCAGTGCGGACTCATCACCCCGCCACGCCAGAGATCGAACCCAGGACCTTCAGGTTCCGTGGTCAGCACGTTACCAGTAAGCCACTGGGTCGGGATTCAATGGTCCACATTTCTTACTTCTGTCAGTTCACGATATAGCGCGACCTACATCAAATGTCGTCGCTGGAGAATGGGGTGCGGCTCAATGGTAACGTGCTGGCCACGGAACCTGACGGCTCTAGGCTCGACTCCTAGTAGTTTGAAGTCATGAGTGCGCACTGCTGAAGAGTCCATACTAGTCGGATGAAACAGTTGTCCAGTGCTCCCAGGCTTTCAATATTCCTCCAACTGATGTCAGTCCATAATGAATTTCAACCTTTACAGTAAGTGTTTCAGTATCATAAGCATTCAATAATACACATATACAGAACAACTCAATGAAAATACATACCTTACATAAACACATTACAGATTTAGCAAATAATGGTGCCATAGAAATTAATTCTTTATCCAATAAATGATCTAAAAAGGTGAAATTTGAATTTAAAACAGGACTTGTTTGTGATTTATTCGATCGACGTTTTGATTTTCGTCTATCTTGAATTTCAATACGATTACGTTCATTATCAGAATTGAAAAGATTAGGTGATGAATGAGTAGAATGTGTAGTTTTAGTGATAATATCTGTTTGACAATTATCAGGAATAGATGAATGTGATGATGATGTTAAACTAGGAATAGCTTCATTGCTTATACTCTTTGATACAGGATTACGATTAAGTGAATCAAAACAACCTTCTGTCCATGATAAAGAACTTTGTCGTTTCTTTTGTCGTATTAATGCTTCAAATTGTTGATAATCTTCATTGTTTACAGATTCAAGTTGACTCTGAATTTGATTTAAAATAGATGATGAAGCTTGTGGAGCAAGTGTTCGAGTTATTAAAGTAAAACATTTTGAAAAGTATTTAATTTGAAATAATAAAATCTTCCCTGGATTCAAGACATCCTCAACATTTTCATCAGTCTATAAAACAACAAAAAAAATAGATAAAATGAATAAATGATGAATAGTAGGCCTACAAAAATATTTTGAGAAAGATATATTTTATGATATACTGGGTGATGACAAAAAAGTGTCATGAAAATGTAGACCGCGCCCAGATTCGAACCAGCAACTACCTTCAATCATCACCCAGTAGTAATACAAGTCTGCGAAACCATGCCCATCTCACATAGTCAAATTGATAATCAATATGATGCTCCACCTCCTCTCTAATTCAGTTACAAGTGAATTGGGATGAGAAGACCTGACTAGTCAGTCAGTGTGAGTACGATCAAGCGATAGTAATGCATCACGACGAATTCACATGGTAGTCTGGAAATCTGGTCAGCAGTCGGACCTAGTAAGTCAGTTGCTAAAGCATCGGCTCGGAAACCCAGTGGTCACTGGTTCGAGCCCAGCCACGACCTAAATTTCCATTTCACCTTCTTGGTTGCATTGTGTTCTCTGAGCTGGGTTATTTAATCGTGAAGCTTTCATCGTCCTTCTAGGCGACATCATCGGCACTAACTTCAGTATGAAGTGGGCTCTCAATATCTCTCCGTGAGTGATTTAGTAGCTGTTGGCTATCCCAGCTTTCCGGAAAGCTGGGAATCCAAGTGTACAGGAAGCCAACACACACTGACCAATTCCTCAACAACAGTAGCAACAACCCACAAGATCAATTGCGTGCACACTCTATTCAGAAGAGCGAGAACACACTGCAGTACAACAACTTCACGGAGAAACGAAGAAAATTACTTGATGTCTAATCTAAAGAAGAACGGCTACCCATGAAACTTTATCAGAAGATGCCTATCCCGTACATCATCAACTACAAAGTCATCGACACAAATCAACAAACGCATCGTCCTACCATACATAAAGAATGTATTAGAAATCACAACAAGATTTCTGAGACCACTTGGAATTGGTGTGGCTCATAAACCAACAAATTCCCTCCAAACACTATTATGCAGACCAAAGGATGCAACAAGCAAAGAAGACAAACTGAATATCATTTACAAAATCAACTGAAATAACTGTAGTCAACACTACATTGGACAAAGTGGTCGTCCTCTTCGCGTTCGTCCACATGAACACCAATTGGCTATTAAACGTCACACACGACATTTCATCACTGATTTCAATGCATGTGGATAATTATGGACATGAATTCAATTTCGACAATGTAGAAATTCTGGAAAGAGGAAACACAAAGAATGTCAGAGAATTCCTAGAAGCTTGGCATTCAGGTCAGTCAGCAGTTAACAGATGTATAGACATAGACCCAATCTATCAACCAATAAGAAAGATGATAAACAACAGAAAGGTCAGAGATCAAGCAGAGAGGCAGTCAACAGGAAAGTCTATACAATCAATGACACAACAATCAAAGAAAACAGTCAATCACGGACCACTTCGTCAGGGCAAGCTACTAAATCACTGACGGAGAGATATTGACAGCTCACTTCATACTGAAGTCAGTGCTAATGTTGTCGTCTAGAAGGACGATGAAAGCTTCACGCTTAAACAACCCAGCTCAGAGGACACAATACAACCAAGACCATCCACCTGAGCTACAAATATTCTCCACTATTTCATCTCACCTTCATTGGTTACCCAGTATAAATACTAGTCTGGCAAACTAAGGCTATCTCAGATAGTCAAAATGATAAAGATATTGTTGAATGATTCTGAAGTGGTTGATACAACTGTAGTGTATATTCAAGAGTGACTTGGTTGAACCTTGAGCTATCAACATTTTCCACTGAATATATACAAAAAATCTCTTTTTCCTTTCACTTTGTTTTAACAATTTCAATATTTCATCTGAATGGATCATGTACTCTTGCCGTTACTTGAGCAAAAATATTTCATATTTCTATATCACGGATATTATCGGTTGAATTGCAGATTCTTGAATTGGCTGAATGAGCCAACACCATCAAACTTACGACTATTTTTCTGTTCCTTATTCATTCGAGACCAGGCGCAAATCCATTCCAATAACCAGCTGGCTGTTTCATGTTATTACCTTTAACACTGTTATTATTAATATCATTCAGATGTGATATCACGTTAGAGATAAATAGACTTTTCAGTGCATAAAAATACATAATAACTCTTTAAAAACATAATTTTGTTTTTTATCAATTGTTAAGTCAGCTGTTTATGACAGAGTGAAATTCTCCAAGTAGTTGAGGTGAATAACTGGTGGAAAAGTTCGGAAAGATGAACTCGAAGGTCATACGAAGAGACCTGTTGAGGAAAATGGCTAAATATTGAATTGATAGCTGTATAAGTCCTAAATGAATCTCAATAATTACGATACCAATTACCTGTCAGGATATTATGTACAGATTAGTGACTAGAAGAGGAGTCCATGATGCATGTTTCGTCAGCTGGATGCACCTGCACCCCAGTGAGTGACGTTGTTCCCACTGAGATTCAAACCCAATACTCATTGCTTCAAACGCAAAAGTGTTATTCATTAGGCTACTGGGGCACGAAAGCCACTCTTGTACAACAGGTATCACTTGTTATTTTCATGCTTAACATTTCCCCGTTGCTATGGATGGCCGTATTGCTAACGAGTCTCAAATAGGACGAAACGCGCGTCCTAGAATCTACCGCTAATCACTTAGATGAATACCTGGCAGTATCGAGGCATCAGCACAAGAGCACATCCTATCAACAGCGATGGAGCAATTTGGGCCTGTATAACAGTTGGGAATGACAAGTATAGAAGAAATCAATGTTTATTTACTAGAAACACAAGCTTGATATACCATAGGATACTTAGAAATATGCCATGTAAAAATTAAACTTAACGTTTACCATATTTTATACTTCCGCTATGTTTTAATCAGATAAAAGTTATCTTGAACAAGTATTTATTTATAAACAGAACGATAAAGATATGGTGGAAGAATATTTGAATGATAAGGTTCAGAAAGCATTTTCAAAACTTCTTATTGTTGATTCAGTCGAATAAGAGTACCTGATTGAGTCTATAGTGGAAGGGTGAAGTTTCTCAGTGTACGACAGTGGTGTACGATACTAACGGTGCATATGAGCTGTTCGTCCCTTACAGATCATCACTTACACGAAGTAACAGTTTGGGACCCAGAGACTATGTAAGTTACTCTCTGACTTCAAACTAATCAATGGTAACGTGCTAGCCATGGGACCTGAAGGTCCTGGGTTCGACCTCTGATGCGGTGGGGTCGTGGGTGCGCACTCCTGAGGGACTTCCATACTAGAATGAAACAGCTGTCCAGTGCTCCCAGGTTTTCAATATTCCTCAAACTGATGCCAGTCCATGATAAAATTCCAACCTATAATCATCTGAATGACATTGAACTCTGATGAAAGCTACAAACAAATCATCTGGGGACTCTATATAATCATTGGTCAAACTATGAAAACTTTTCTTTCCAGTTTTTATTTTCATATAAACTAGGTAATGAATTCAACATGAAAAACAAAATAAAAGCATAACTACAACAAATAAAGTAAGAATACCTCTTTCATTACAGTAAATAATTCATCTTTTGAGATGTTATATTTTTCACATATGATGCGTCGTGTTTGATCCAACAATCCGTCTAGAAGAAGGAGAAAAACAAGACGAGAATTTCAAAACATAAACAAGACAAAATAGAAGAACAGAAGTAAAACGGTAAATTTAGTGATAAAAATCATTTGGAAATTAACAATAGTTGATACAATAATGTTTCATTAGTTTACATTTCTTCGATTCCAGTTACCTGCCCAACTTAATGCTCAAAATTGCCAAGGTGTAAAATGTATTTAAATTACTTGACTATGGTTTATTAGATGAAGTGTAAAACTTTCTTATTCATTGCCTCCAGTTAACTAATATTTGTTAAGGGGGAACCCCAAAGATGGTGATCTCCTAACCTTGATGGTCACATAATCGACAACATAAAACTGAATGCTTTTTAGTGACCAATCAATGTAGGAAAAAAAAGGCGTGGCATTCCCGCCCCCCATATTAAAATATTTCATCAATCGAGAGGCAAGTTACAGTTAGGCACAATCATCTATCAATTACATTCTAAACAAATTCATCTTCAGGCTTTATAGCTAATTAAAAAAAAAACTATTTTTCGAAAGAAAACATCAACATATGTTGAAGGTAGGAAGTTGGATACCAGGTAGAGAAACAAGTGAATAAAAAGAGAATATGTCATCCCTTCATTTTTATTGTAAAATCATACTTATTAACCAATATAATTAGAACATGAGTTAAGCAAACTGTAACTAAAAAATCGAGTAGTAACATTACTGACTGACGTAGATTCAAATCTAACAGAAGAGATCAGTTACCTGTTGAGTGTCAAAAGGAGAAAAACCTAGGTCGATTAGAACTTCTTACCATTTGTTTTCAAATTAATTACTCTCTAGTGATCAGTCAATGCACCCAGTCCAGTCCCCGAATAGCTCAGTGGTAACGTTGCTGACTACAACACTAAGTGACACGAATTCAAATCTCAGAGGGGGACATCACTTCCCTTGAGGTTGCAGATACGCTTTGCTGACGAGTGCCATCAAACATGAAACCTAGGTCTGACAGGGTTTCTTACCAATTCCTTTTAATCAAGCAAAAAACAGTAAGTTTTCGTAGTTAGTTCCTTTGCTTGATTTTTTTTTCAGGCACGGTGAGTATCCCTGATGTAGTCATAGAAAAGAAAGTGCTTTGCTGTAATAAACTGCCAAGTAATTCGCAAACCAACATATAGAATACTGATAAAAATTAGTAGCTAAAAATCATGACGAATATTTGTAGCCTAGGGTGTGGGTACTCAGAGTTATTTGTTCCCTGAGATGAAGCGAGTTGAAAGCAACTCGGCAACCTTCTGCAAATTCGTGCAGTAGGCAATGAGCTACACCTGTTGTGTGAGGGTTAATGAAACTACTACCTGTCTGCACAAACCTCCGTAGTTGAAGCAAGGTTCGAACCGACGACCCATTAGTTAGAAGTCAAGTCATTAAACCGAATGAGCTACAGCTCTACTTCTCTGAGATGGCTTTTTCGTTGACGATGTTAATGTTGTTATCACAGCTTCACAGAACAGATGGCCAAATGAAACCCTAACTAAGACACTAACTCAATCTAATTGAACTAGTGCCTAGAAGTGCAAAGTATGATGAGTTTAACACCTCAGTAACTATAGACAGTTTTTTAAACTAAAGATGACTATAAACAACTGCTTGTACTGACTGATTCCTAAAGTCCCAAATAAGAAGTCATGACTGGTGGGGTCAACCAAGTTGAACATGAGGACAGTTACTCAATGATGACATTGGATGGAGGTGAGGCTATATTGTGAACCATTGAATTCCAACCCAGCAGCTCAGTGGTAACGTGCTGGCCACGGAACCTGAAGGTCTTAGGTGCGCACAGCTGAGAGTCCCATACTAGGGCGAAACAACTGTTCAGTGTGCTCCAAGGCTTCTTATCTTTCCCTAACTGATGTCAATCCATGATGAATACCAACCTGAAATCATCTATATATAATTACGATACATATCATTTGTTTGCTTATATGTCTCACAATATTACGTGAAATAATCAGAATTCTATTTGAATTAGGATTTCATTTATTTTACTTCTCTCTTTTTCAGTGTAGTTAGTTCACAACACTAAATTTTTATAAAATAATAAAGTAATAAACTATATTTTTATCTTATATAATCCACAAAGTGAGCTTTATGCAAACTTAACTAGATAATATTTTGTAACTAGGTCAGGCAAGTGTATACATACCTTTGTACAAGTAGAAAGCACCATATTGTCTATATGTCAGTCAGTGTACAAGAAGAATATATACACAACTGAATAGTTGTACATAGTAAACACTGTATGAAATAACCATTCTTGTTAAACTTAGAGGTTTATGGGGGAATGATTGATTAATTTCAGCTTGGTATTTATCGCTGACTTACATCAGTTTCTACATTGTCAGTCCATGATGAATACCAACCTGAATTCTTGTTAACTGTTGAAATTTGATCAACCAATAAGAAGTCGTATGTCTAGATTTCAAATGTCACTGATTGATGCACAACTTTGTACATCGATGTAAGTCGTTACAAATCACACCAATATGACAAAAAAGGAAGATAATGAGAAGAGAACAGGAGGAAAATAAATAAAGGGGTAAAGAACAAAACAATATCGAAGATGGTATGTTCAAAGGTTTGAAGATATGTAGAATCAATGATGACTTAGGCTATCAGATGGAACCTAACCTAGAACCCTTAGAGGAAAGTTTTTATTTCTTTTTTTTTATCCATCTACCTTCTCTCTCATTCTAGATGGTTCTGTGCATTGAAGTTGAAGGTAGCTAAACTAAGGTGAGGAATACTGAAGGTACATTCAATTATTCCCAAAAGGATGTTATGTCATCTAGTTTAATAACATAATTGTAATTATGAATAGACGGATATTGATAATTGGATAACAGGCTTGATGAAAAACTATCGAATTAAGTGTTATAAAACATATGAATATAATTACTTGATAGAAAATAAATCATAGTAATTCTACTTGGTTGTGGCTAGCAGAGGAATCCAGGACACGCATCTCATCTTATTTAGGACTCATCGGCTGAATGTACCTGCGACCCACTGCGGAGTGATGTTGTTCCCACTCAGACTCGAACCTCGTACGCATCGCTTCAAACGCTAAGGCATTATTCCCTAGGCCACGAATGCACGTTAGCCATATTAATAAGTAGTAATGACTAAACACTCATTGTACAAGAGGTGGCTGTCGTGCTTCTGTGGCATAGTGGACAACGCCCTGGAGTTCGAAGCGATGGGTACGAGGTTCGAGTTTGGGTGGGAACAACATCACTCCGCACAGGGGTGGCAGGTACATCCAGTTGACTAGTGGGTCCCAAATAAGAAGAAATGCGAGTCCTAGATTCCGCTGCCAGCCACAACCGAGTAGAATTATCCTAATAAATATTCAAGCAATATCGAGGCATCCACATAAGAGCCCATATGTCGATAAAGGTCAAACAAATCGATCCAGTAAGACAACGGAGGATTACAAGTATACCAATAAATAAGTAAGGATTAAATCGTTTGTATCAAGCTTCACTATGTTACTAAATGTTCAAGTTTTACATCTTGTGAACGGAACATGGTGAACATGTATAGACTAATCTATTTACCTTTTATTTATATTTAGTGTGTAGGTGTAAGTGTCTGGATCTCTGGACAACAAAGTCAACTTTTTAGAATATTACAAAAGAATGAAGATATTTCAGACCAAAGAAAAATGAAGGTATTATATTCAACTGTTGTTTTTTCTTTTGTTTAAATGGTTACAGGATCAAAGTTCTACATATGTTGAGGAAAGAGAATGTAGTAGAAGATTGTAAACTGTATTGATAAAGGCGTCTTCATATATAGGCGACTTTCTGAAGAAAACAATCTATGAAATATTGATGAAACATACAGACAGGTATAGAAATGATGTAAAGAAATCTTTATTCATTAAAAGAATAATAAGCGTCCACCATAATTAGTTGGTAGTAGTATACGACAAATGAATATCAGTTGTATACATATCATAGACCTATCAAATGATAAAACTAGCAGAGATATATTCATTCCTTGACGTCTTCTATAGCTTGAATATTTGAACTAACCTCCACTTTCTTATATAATTTTGTCTACTTTGATATCATTCTGTTTCTATCCACCTGTTCTTTGTGTGCCAACTTGAATCGATCCAAATGTATGCAAGATCCAACGTTAATTTTCTCTATCTATCTGATTATTAGACTGTTTATTCATTTTTTTTTCCTTTCAATTCACTCTCCATGTCTACTATAGTTCAGTAATTGTATCTTTAATAATAAATACAATGTTAAACGAGACTATTCAACCTCTTATTTTATACTAAACACGTAGACAATAATATATACAATTTCACCTTTATTATAGTCTACTTATAATCATCATATTCAGTTAGAATTGACTACCAAATTCCAACTTGATTTAGATGTCTACAGATTGACGACAGTTGTCTACTTCTTAGCTCGTCTCTACGATTTATTTCGGTAGCAGACAAGGTTTATGTGTAAAAAAATAAATAGAAGGACGTGAATAAAGGTTGTGTAGGGGGGGGGATAAGGAGAATTTCACTTTCTCTCAACACACACACACGCACACACACACACACAACAGTAGTTCATTTCATTTGGTCACGTACAAAAGGCCACAATGGGCATAATTTTAATTAAACAACTCTGTTTATCTAACTAGATGGAATTTTATTCATAGAGTAAATAAAAGAAAGAAAAAGAATGGTCTACACGTTTTCTGTGAGGCTTGAAGGTTCGGAATTCGATCCCCGACGAGATTATGAGTGCGTACTGTTGAGGAGTGTGCCATACAAGGACGAAACAGCTGTCCACTGCTTTCAGTGCTTCTTCAGCTAATGTCAGTCCATGATGAATACAACCTTAAGAGGTAATACATCTCAGACACATTTGTTAGGGAAATAACCAAACTATGCGTGTAATTATCTTAGCAACGACTTGCTTTGAACGCTTATCGAAAAACT